ATAGATGCTAGCTCCTGGATCTAGTCCTATAGATGCTAGCCCAGTGCTCTGGGATCTAGTCCTATAGATGCTAGCTCTGGGATCTGGTCTGATAGATGCTAGCCCAGTGCTCTGGGATCTAGTCCTATAGATGCTAGCTCATAGCTTTTGTATCTGGTCCTATAGATGCTAGCTCAGAGCTTTTGTATCTGGTCCTATAGATGCTAGCAGAGCTCCGGGATATGGTCTGATAGATGCTAGCTCCTGGATCTAGTCCTATAGATGCTAGCCCAGTGCTCTGGGATCTAGTCCTATAGATGCTAGCTCGGGGGTCTGGTCCTATAGATGCTAGCCCATAGCTCCTGTATCTGCTCTAATAGATGCTAGCAGCGCTAACCTCTGTAGCCGGATGAGGCAAAAGGCAGCGCCCGAACAGAGGGATACTCAGCTCAGAGCTCCGGGATCTGGTCTGATACATGCTAGCTCCTGGATCTGGTCCTATAGATGCTAGCTCATAGCTTTTGTATCTGGTCCTATAGATGCTAGCAGAGCTCCAGGATCTGGTCTGATAGATGCTAGCTCCTGGATCTGGTCCTATAGATGCTAGCCCAGAGCTTTTGTATCTGGTCCTATAGATGCTAGCAGAGCTCCGGGATATGGTCTGATAGATGCTAGCTCCTGTATCTGGTGCTAATAGATGCTAGCAGCGCTAACCTCTGTAGCCGGATGAGGCAAAAGGCAGCGCCCGAACAGAGGGGTACTCAGCTCAGAACTCCAGGATCTGGTCCTATAGATGCTAGCTCAGAGCTTGGGGATCTGGCCCTATAGATGCTAGCTCATAGCTTTTGTATCTGGTCCTATAGATGCTAGCTCATAGCTCCCGGATCTGGTCTGATAGATGCTAGCTGCAGGATCTGGTCTGATAGATGCTAGCTCAGAGCTCCTGGGTCTGGTCCTATAGATGCTAGCTCAGAGCTTTTGTATCTGGTCCTATAGATGCTAGCAGAGCTCCGGGATCTGGTCTGATAGATGCTAGCTCCTGTATCTGGTGCTATAGATGCTAGCCCATAGCTCTTGGATCTGGTCTGATAGATGCTAGCTTAGAGAGCCCAGTGCTCTGGGATCTGGTCTGATAGATGCTAGCCCATAGCTCCTGTATCTGGTACTAATAGATGCTAGCAGCGCTAACCCCTGTAGCCGGATGAGGCAAAAGGCAGCGCCCGAACAGAGGGGTCCTCAGCTCAGAGCTCCAGAGGGGCCCTCCAGACAAAGGGGGCCCCCCCGCCTTCCCTTCCCCCCACTGGGACATTCTGCCAAGGTTCTCCGAACGCTTCCAAGTCAAACTTGGAATATGAAATGAAGCGGAGCGCCGGGCTTTGTGGCGGAAATCCAGAGAGAGCTGGAAGGAGTGAAGAATGGGGATGACATCAGGCCGATTTCACACCCGGGCTAGGATGGCCGATCTAGGCCGGGGCCTGACGCCCCTCACTGATCAAAGCAGCCCCCCCAAAGGAGGAGGGGGCACTTATCTATGCTAAGCCCTAGGACAAATATATTCTAATCTTGTTACGTTACATGTTAATGCTAAAGCTAAAGGAACTAACTGGATGCTAGGAGAGCAAAGATTGAGGAAAGTTAGATAAGTGGGAGTTACTGGAGTCAGATGGGGTCAGAAGATGTGGAGATATTCTCACTTTCTTTATAATAATAATAATAATAATAATAATAATAATAATAATAGATTAATGCTCAGAGTAAAGATGAGTTAGATTGTTAAAAAGCAAAGAGAAAATTAATCAAATACAATACTCTTATAGGGGATAAAAGACATTATTCTAACAGTTCTAACAGCTTTGAAATGGATAATACTGAAAATAAACCCCAGATATTTAAAGATTTAATAATTATTTTAATCAAGGGGTGATAGCTTTTACTTAGGAAAAGTTCTATAGCAACTTTATAAGAAAATAAAAGAGACCAGAGGCATTTCTTCATTTTTATTAGGCGTTTTTTTTTAAAGGAGCAACTATGAGGCACCAACTGGAAAGGACAAAATATAGAATAAAAAAATAAGGCAGCAGAAAGGAGGAGACAGATAGTGGCTTTAGAGAGGAGGAGGGGCAGCCATCTTTAAATCAGGACTATAAAGGACACCAGGACTGACTTTATCTCTGTAGAGAGATGGAAGTAAGAAAGACTTAATTCACCTTTAATTGTAACTTGCTGCACTTTAAGTTCAATTCAATTCAGTTTTATTTCTATAGCTCCACATCACAACAACAGTTATCTTTCCAAACAGAGCAGGTCAGACCTACTCTGAAGTTAATTACAGAAACCCAACAATTCCCACCATGAGCAGCACTAGGCGACACAGGCAAGGAAAAACTTCCTTGTGTGTGTTCAGATTAATAAAGAAACACTCCTTAAAAACATCACCATGTCCTAGAGACCTGGACTCAGACAAACTGAGGTTGTTTCCTTAGATTTTGAGGAGGAACTGATGCAGAAAGCTGCTCTTTTTTCATGTTTTGTGTCCCAAAAATCCAAAATACTCCTCCAGAGTTCTCCCATGATGCACCTCTGCTCTGCCCAATATTATTAACGCGTTCCTCTCTTTCTCAGCTGGTATTTTAACGGCCTTTAATGGAGATTTGGAGCCAATTAAATCAAATAAATTTAGATTTTGAATCGACTCACAACAATCAAGCGTCTGTTTATTCAAAAGCAAACTTTAAAAACAGATTAAGGCTTGTTGGTCAAAGACGGAAACCCAAACGGCTACAGCTCCTCGTTCGTCTGACGGCTTTCCTCACAGAAACCTGAAAAAGACAGGTATTTACCCAGGTATACAGGTGTTTATACCGGTGATTGTACAGGTGTTTATAAAGGTGTTTATACTGGTATTATACAGGTGTTTATACAGGTATTTATGCAGGTATTCATACAAGTGTTTATACAGGTGTACAGGTGTTTATGCAGGTGTTTTTACAGGTGTTTTTACCTGTGTTTATACAGGTGTTTAAACAGATGTTCATACAGGTGTTTCTACAGGTTTTTATACAGGTGTTTGTACAGGTGTTTCTACAGGTATTTATGCAGGTATTCATACAAGTGTTTATACAGGTGTACAGGTGTTTCTACTGGTGTTTAAACAGATGTTCATACAGGTGTTTATACAGGTGTTTTCCCAGGTGTTTGTACAGGTGTTTGTACAGGTGTTTGTACAGGTGTTTTCACAGGTGTTCATACAGGTATACAGGTGTTTATACAAGTGTTTATACAGGTGTTTCTACAGGTGTTTGTACAGGTGTTTATACAGGTGTTTATACAGGATTACAGGTGTCTATACAGGTGTTCATACAGGTGTTCATACAGGTGTCTGGGCTCTGATGGACCTACCGGATATCCTGCTGCACAGCTGCTCCTGGACGTCTTCTCCAGGCCGGCTGAAAGCTGAAATTATCTCGTCCTCCAGCTCCTCCACCACCGACTCACACTGAGAGCCAACGATCAATATCCCATCAATATCCGATCAATATCCGATCAATATCCTATCAATATCCTATCAATATCCGATCAATATCTGATCAATATCCGATCAATATCCGATCATTATCCTATCAATATCCGATCAATATCTGATCATTATCCGATCAAAATCCGATCATTATCCGATCAATATCTGATCATTATCCGATCACTATCTGATCAATATACGATCAATATCTGATCATTATCCGATCATTATCCGATCAATATTCGATCATTTTCCGCTAAATATCTGATCATTATCCGATCATTATCCGATAATTAGCCGATCATTATCCGATCATTATCTGATCATTATCTGATCAATATCCGATCATTATCCGATCAATAACCGATCATTATCCGATCATTATCCGATCATTATCCGATCAATATCTGATTAAGGTCCAGTTAGGATCCAGTTAGGGTTTGATTAGGGTCCGATTAGGGTCTGATTGATGCTAATGCTAATGCTAAAACTGGATCAGTTTTCTTCTGATTTTCATGGTCAGCATCTTCTTTTTTTTAGCTTTTTATCTTCCGTGTTCTGGGGAAAAATCTATTTCTATCCATTTATTCAGCTCATATTGAACAGGGATTTAATGGTTAGGACACAGACCTGTGGGTTTAGCATATGCTAATGCTAAAACTGGATCTGGATCTGAGTTTTCTCCTGCAGCTTCAGACGGTTTTTTAGCTT